ACACAAACAATATAAATACGTCAACACAAAATTAGATTTCGAGTTCGTATGCTTTCTAGAGCAGAACAATGCGATCCACCGAATGTCTGTTTATTTTACAAAGTTACGTTCAAAAAGCAATTCAACGTATTACGCGATATCTAAGACTAGGCTTCGCCTACGATTTCGCACCGAACTTTATGTTTAAGGCTGTGTAATTTAACAGACACATGTTCCAGTACTGTCTATAGTTTCTGCCAGTAATACATAAAAAAAAACACTTTTAACGGTTTAAAACGCAAAATGCTTTACAAACTTGTGTACAAAGCTTTTTAACTACGGCCAACGACGTTTCGGAGTTTTTGCAGCAGTCGTGGTCACGTGGGGACCATGCCTTCTGTCCTGCTGAACATTGTCCAGAGTTGGATTACTAAATCATGTTTATGACAGTAGACACTACACCAAAGTTTTTAATATGTTTTATCGGGCTATTATCTATTTTTTCTTTAACTATTAGCTTTCTACGATCAGTACAATAATCTCACGCCATGATTATTTTAACCTCTAATTGATATAACGGTCGTGATCGTAGTGCTGGTTGAAACTATAAACGAATTAATCTTAGTGTTTGTGTGCGTTTTGTGGATATTAACAAGAACTAGAGGAAGTATTACTTCTACGAAATTTAGTAGGATATAACGGTGAAGTCATAAATCAAAAGAAATTTTGATTAATGTGCAAAACTGGAAACTTTCACGTCATTAACACATAAATGTCAATTGTTCCAATTTAAAACTTTTAGATGCCGTGATAAATACATTACAGACGCCTACTTTGGTTTCCTTACGAGCCTTCTCTAGGTGGACCAAGAATGGAAAAATAAATGCGAAATAAGTTACGTATTCTTAATCGCGTTTACAGTTGTGATAAACAAATTATAAATTAAATGAAAAAGCATTCAAAACCAACAGCGTATCGTGTTGTTAATATAAACAACCGTTTATATTAATACAAAACATCAAGATTTGCCGAGCTCGTGGGTGTAGTGAAATATAGCCATAGAGAAAAATCAACGGGTTCTGGGTTCGGTCCCCACCGGGTCCAAAATTTTTCTTATCAATTTATGACTTGACTGACTGATATATGTGGAAATCGGAATATTAATGTGGTGGTATGAATATCCTAATTCCGTCCGGGTTACGAACTGTCTACAGATGAAAAAGTTGTCAAGTTTAAACTCGTTTCAGTCTATGGATTTCCGAATATCCAAAGTCGAAATAGATCGACAGCGCATCATGTTTATATGTCCTGTTCCCATTTTTCGGAACTAAACACTTAGCAGATAAAATTGGTTTCGTCTTAAGAAAATAATAACCATTACTCGTATAACAAGACTTGACCGCCTCTGTAGCCAAATGGTTAAACGTATTGCCTAGCTTTGCGTTGAGCGCGAGAGGTCCTGGGTTCGAATGCCAGGGAAACAAAAAATTGTTTCGCTCGGGCAGGGCACAGAAGTCTGATCAACTACTTGCCCGTTAAAAGAACGGATCAATGAAACGGACACAGAAATGTGTTCCCCCGTGCCTCACGAGGGGAAACGGGCTTTCACACACGTATAACAAGACAACCGAATTCCAAAACAAAATTGGGCAATCTTGTTCTGGTATTCTAGAGACACAAACTGTATAGGGTCTCTAATTGACATACTAGCCTCTATAGACTTACTCGAGTGTAGGTGTGGTTAAGCAGATGAAGAAGTTGAGTTTAAAGTAAATAAACCGTAAGTGGCTATTAGTGGGTTCGTTGGTTAAGTGGTAGCGTGCACAATGAGAAAAGAATTCTTAGCATTGATTTGCCTGTAAGTGCGATAGGGAGAAATATTTTTGTCTGGGTTGCGACCGACAATCGTTGAAGTTGACTTTCAAATATCCAAATTACAACAGACTATGTCAGATCAGCGTATTTTCAATAAAATATTCTTGTAAGTGCTTTTACAAAATAAAATGGTCCATTTAAAAGACGACAACATTTTTTTTATATTTTTACGAGCAAAACAACAAATTATACTGTTTGTAGTTTACGCGAGAAGTACATATAAAAACGCGAGATGTATTAGTTAAACTTATTTGACAATTATTTTTAGTACGGCCGACGTTTTGATTGCTTTGCAGCAGCCGCGGCCATAATAAGAAACTTTTTGCCATAGTTAAAATAATTTATAATTTACCTAATATATTTAACGTTTTAAGCCGTTGAAGTGGTTTATTTAAAAACAAGAAATGTATCAATGTAAGTTATAGTTATTATTATATTTTATATACTATAAAAAATGTAACTCATATTTCCATCGCTAATAAATATCGCTATTTAAATTAAATAAAAACAGTCTGTGTTATTTATTTATTCCTGGTATCATATGACTTATTTACTGTTAATATTATTTTTATTATTTGCATTCGATGAATCTCCGAAAAGGTTAAGTGCATTATTTAGCGAAGAATTGTTTACTAATACTGAATAGTACCTATTTAAAAACAGAACACTAAACCAACATTTTCGATGCACGTGACCGCATAGGAAATCATAGTCTTATGTCATAAAACTAACCTCGTTTCATTGATGTAAACACAAAAATCGGAGTTGTATGTCAATCACACACAGTAGGAAATTCGCGGGACCCGACTTACCAGCACAGTGGCCTGAATGCAACTAATCTTTCTAAGATTCTCTAACCTGCGCAGGCGCAAGCCAACCTCTTGGTTTCCATACTCCTCAATAGGTGGTTATGCAACACGTGATATTACAATGTGATTGCTCTCGCCGCGTCAATGGTAACGCTTAGTTATATGCTAAAAACACACAGAAGCCATTAATTATTATAGGTTTATTTACGGAAATAACAGTTTAGGGTTCGACTCCCGCTCGGATCAAAAAGATGTTTAACTTGGAATACTTTTTTTACTACTCATTAATTTCTCCTTTGACTTAATATTATCATTGATATAATAAGATTAAGTCGTTAAATTATATTGTATGTATGTATTCATAAAGTTTTTTTATGGCCACTGGAATATATTTAGATTATTTTGTTTTTTTTTTCATTTCAGGTTATTCTGATTACCTTATTCTGACTTTCGTTAAAACTTTTAAATATAGTCAAGCAGAAAAATGTGTACAGCCACATTAATAAATTAGTCTATGACACGAGTGGAACTCAAACCCACGGTACCGTGAAACGTGCAGTTGATTCGACAACATAGTTCATCACAACATTTTATTCAGACAACAGTACGATAAGGACTTAAAATACCCGACATTAAAAAAATATTGACTAACAATTATTGCTACCATTCAATAAAGAGTCATTCAAACGTCAATAAATATTAATGAATCCGTGGTTGTGATTTCAATTATACACACACCAGGGGCCGAACACATTTCTGTGTCCGTTTCTCTGATCGGTTCTGCTGCAGGCAAGCGCTGATCAAAGACCTTATGTATCCTGTCCGATTTAACCATATGTTTACAGAGGAGGGGGTATTTTAAATTATTATCGTTTAATATAAAATACTGAACGCCTGTTGAGTATATTTCGATAAACAACACAGAGGTCGCTTGCAACTTTCCTTTCCTGTGCATGTGTAACGCTTGTATCCGATCTGGTGAAGACATACCGCCTTTTTCAGTGTCTTCATATGCCCTTACAATTAACTAATTAATATGAATTAGTACGGGAATATAATAGGCTTAATGAAATCTATCTTAGGGAAGCATATAAACTTAATATAAAGAATAAAAAACTGTATTGTGTTTTTATTCTGACAGAACGATACAAACAGCACTTTAGGAGTGATAGTTTTTTTTTTAATTTGACTAAATCCTGGGGAAATTACCTTAAAAGAGATGAACGATGTTAACTAAAACAGTACAGAAATTATTCCTTTTTAAATATTCTAAGAAAATATCCGCCATTTAAGAAGATAAGAGAAGAACGACTGGACCTGAACGACGGGACGGGACGCGTCCGATGTCGATGTCGGATAGCAGTTTAAATTTATAAAGATGAAGAGGAGGTTTGCAAAAATAAACTTGGATGCCCAAAATAACTAGTCTACGCATACAAAGTCGCTGACACAGCTATTAATTCCATAAAATAAAATCAAACATATATAACATCTATCACACCTTTTTTTGGTGTAGTTCTGAAAAATTGTACTTTTTCGTACGTAACACACGGTACTAAAAAAATGATTTGTTAATAGTTTTTTGCGTAATTATAAGTGTATATATTCTGCCGTTAATTGATGTACTTTTGTTGAATCTAATGTTTGCAGTAAAGCGTCAGGAATCTTCAATTATGTATGTAATAGTATTTTATTACTATATAATGGGCATATTGTTCTCGACTATATTTTAATTACATGGAAATTGTTGTTACTATATATTTAATACTGTGTAGTATGCGAATGGTAATGGTTTAAAACGCGAAATGGTTCAGATTTGCAGCAGCCGTGGTCACTTTGGTAGACTAAAGATGGAGGATGTCTCTGATGTCAAAGTAAAAACTGCTAAGCTAGCGCCATCTCTTCCGTCATAGTTGGTATTTGGCGAAACTGGCCGGGTCCTTGCAGAATCGACTAACGGTGTAGTCGCGTTTACCGGTATGATGTTTGTTGGGAAGTATTTAATATTAGATCCAAGGGATTTCATAACTCCATCTAATTTTTCTATTTCGCCTTTTCAGTTTACATATTGCATTAAGAAAACGAGTGTTAAAAAAACTAATTTACTATTATTTTTATTTTGGAATGGTTACGCGTTTGTTGGCTTGTCGGCCTTTAATTTTGGGACGCCATGTCTGAGGCTAGACCCGTAGTCCAAGCACCCTTGCCTTGGACTATCATTATTTGGGTGTGAGATTGGAGAGCCCGACGAACGCTTACTCGGGTAAAAACAATATTACTTCACCTTTTTTAATAGTTCCAAGATATTTACAAAAAAACATAATAACTTAATTAATTCTAGGCTTCCTTAACTGATTCACTTGCGTCTACGCCACTTTGGTTTCTGTCTCTTCGTTTCTTGCCGTAGCTTCGAAGGTAAAAATTGATGAAGAGCACAAAGAATGAACTGATGCTGAATACACAGTAATAATGAAAAGCAGCGGGCAATGGGCAAGGTGTTAGCTTCTGCTGGTAGTACAGGTTTGATATCACAAGTATAAACTGCATCTGAAATGAAAACACCGTTATTCATCAACTTCAAAAATCGAAGACTTAAGAGGTTAAAATATTAGCTAAATTAAAATTTGTTGTATATTCCAATATGAAGACATTTGAAGCTAGAATTGAACTTGTAAGAACTTGAATTTTAAAACGTCGAATAATATTTATTATTGAACACGATTCTATGGAGTCTAAAAAGTCATAATTAAAAATCGATTAATATTTAAATAAATGACGAGACGGACGGAACTTAAACCGGCATCCATCCGTTCCGTGATGCTTTTTTAAATATTTATTGCGTTCCGGGCTGCTACACTGTAGTTGTATAATGCAATTTTCAATAACATGTGAAAAATATTGAAGTCTTTAAATGTATGTTAACGCTATAAGACACAGAGTATCTAAGTACAATTGCTTGCTCTTCAGAACTTTAAGAAGACTAGACATATGACATAAGACTAGACAGAAGTATGTTAAATCCCAGAAAAAAAATATTTCAGACACATCTTTTAAGATGTTTTAGCAAAAAAGCCGTGGACGCCTTAAAGTTATTTTCTATATTAAATGTTAAATGAGTGTCAAAATGTTTTATTGTTCATAATTTGCATATTAATGGGAATTGAGAATAGAGATTTATACAAGGTTATCACATTTCCTGACATAATGAGCTCGAATGTTAATCTGTCAGTAAAATTGTAAAAGCAAGGTATATGAAGACTTTTCAAGGCAATCTTTTTTGCGTTAATATAATCACATTTCGGTACGTATATTTTTACCGATGTAAGAGTTGATAATTTAAAAAAATTCATCGATTTCGTGTCTATTTCTATTTTACTTTTTAACCGTTGAACTCTTGTGACATAGTAGAAATGCGAATGTAGAAGCATCTTATATCCTCATCTGAACTGTTATCATACTGCTATATTAGTTTATAATAGGAGAGACAAAATGCGCTATCGACCTATTTTGGTTTTGGATATCAGGAAACACAGACTGACACCGGAACGTGACTGAAATTCACGCTTTTTTCATCTATGATGCGACGGAATTTCGATATTTCCATTTCCATTTAAAATCAAATTTCCAGAAATGCAACATGTTTCGGAAAGTTTATACATTAATTAGAAAAATGTTGATGTCGATGGGGATCGACCCTAGATCTGTTGATTTTTAGCCAAACATGCTACCATTAAATCAATAACTGTCTAGGGATAAGAGAGAGATAATCATTCTCAATTTACATTCGAATCATAATCTGATATAACAAAATAGCTGTTAAGGCTTGAGGGGTCTGCCTAAGGAGATTTTGAGTGAAATGTGTAACGGTTTTCTAGACTAATTAATTTACATGACAAGCATCAAGAACGATTATCCCCTTAAGGGCACCAATTAAGTAGCTCTAATAAGTTATCATACAGCTTTGATATTGTTCTAACTGTTAACGTCAGCTCACGAAGATCAACGGTGCTAACGGCGAAATAAAATTTAGTTCAGGTTTGATTCTTGATTACTTAATTAAAAACTTCTTTAGTAACGACCTTTCAAAAGAAAGCAATATCTGTTTGAAAAGTTTAATGTTTTTCGCATGTGCTCCACATGTTTCAAGTCTTGCCCGAGTCGTAAATTTTTTCAGTGTATTATCGATTTTTAATTCAACCGATACGTGATCAAAAAAGCCGTACTGGCCGTCCATTGTATTTTTTTAAGTTGTCTCACTTTTGTATTAGTGTAGTCTCTTCCTGAGACATAGATAGTAAAACACATAATTTACCGAGAAAGAGTCAATTTACAACTGAAAGGGTAACTTTCAGTTGTAAAATTCCTTTGGCAGCACATAAAGTTGGAAAAACTCAGAACTCACAACAACAAACAACAACACAACTCACCTTATCTTAAAATTGGCAGTAAAAATTGACAACATGATGTAAATAGAATATATAAACGATTAATTTCCTCTACCACTTCTAACATCCGTATAAAGACCATATATATACTGTATTTTTGTGTATATGCTTCGTAATTTAATTATTATATTTTTCACATCACATATCACCTTATATGACTTGAGCTAATTGAAGATACAGACGTGTCTCAAACCCAGAACCAAAATAAACTTAACTACGTAACTTGAGAATCAGTTAAAGTCCTGTCTGTCTCATCAATTATTTTACGATAATAATTTTCAAATTCACTTACCAGTTGTATTTTAGTCACGTGTTTTTTCCACCAGATGAATCTTGCGTACTCGGGCCCCAAAGACGAGAGACCGTAGTAAGTATACATCACTACGTGGACGAAGCTGTTTATGAGCCCAACGACCACAAAGTGATCACATGGATGGTACAAATAATGGAACCAAGTCCAGGTAACCATAGCGCTGTGGTGGTAGACATGCAGGAAGGTAACTTGGTTCTGTTTCTTGCGAAGAATAAAGAAGACAGTGTCTAGAAGATCGATGTGCTTAGCTATAAAATATGGAAGTATGTCCGCGATTACCTAGAAAAAAGTATGGATGATTTATAATCTGTTAGGAAGTCCGAAATTTAACGGTTTAAATGCGTAATAAATTAGTAGTAAGTAGTAGCAGTAGGTAAATTAATATAGTGAAAACGGTAAACTAAACTTTTTCGCGATTTAAACCGTTAAAAATGTATTATCAAAAAGTTTATTACTCGTGTAAACTACAGAAATAATTAAGCCTTAAAATAGCACGATTCGATGTAATGTAACTTTTAAGAGAAATAAGCATTAATTGAATACAGAGGTCCTGAATTCGAATCTTCCAAAAAACATTTTAAAACTTGTAGCTGGGGACAGGAGACAGACAGAAAAGGGACACAGTAGTGAGACCGTGTCTTCCGTGTGCTCAATCATAACATATAATATATACATAGCTATTAAATACTGTCTATAGTTTACACGAGTAGTACATATTTAAATAAAACACTTTAACCGTTTATTTGAAAATGATTTTTAATTTTGGCCCGACATTTCGGATGCTTTGCAGCAGCCGTAGTCATTTCTCTCACGGTCTCCCCTTAACCATGGCTGCTAATATTTCGCGTTTTAAACAGTTAAAGTGTTTTAGTTAAATACATATCTCTTATTATACTCGTATATTGAACTATAAGCCACGTCCTAACCGATTCTATAGGTTTTTCCAGGTGAATAAGGTTGGATCAAACGAATACTTACAACTAGTCAATTGCAGTACGAACGAAGGTAAAAAAGAAATAATTAATTAATCAATGATTTGAATAACAATGTAGGTTGCCCTATTTACGTAATAAGGAAATTGAGTACAGTTTTTATTTAAGTTTATATTACATCAAAACAAATGATTCATACGCAATATGGAGATCGGATCGGATCTTTTACATAGTAACTAGTTGTTAGCGGGCGTAGAATTGTGACAAAAAAATACAAACATATTACGTGATCTAAAACATGTTTGACAAAAATAAATGACGCAGTATTTAATGATAATATATAATTATTTAAATAAAACACTTTAACGGTTTAAAACGCGATATATTAGTTAAACTTATTTGAAAATTATTTTTAACTTCGGCCCGACGTTTCGGATGCTTTGCAGCCGCCGTCTCCCCGTGACAACGGCTGCTGCAAAGCATCCGAAACGTCGGGCCGAAGTTAAAAATAATTTTAAACATGTGTACTACCCGCGTAAACTATAGACAGTATATAATTATTTATTTTCTGTGCTTTTTTATTTTTCGATTGACTATATGTATAGGAGATGATATTTACTGATATTGTTGTCGCCTAAATAGAAAATTAAAGGATTTTATTATTTTAAAACTGATTGAAATCAATAAAAATAGGATATAAAACTTAATAGTAAATTTACAAGTAAAGATAAATTAGATTTGCTTTTTCTTTGTCCAAAAATGCAAGAACGTATTCACAAACACGGTTTTTCAGTTCCATATAAGTATCTATGTGTCAAAAATTTGTGTTATGTGTATACACACACATATACACAAAGTGTCTCATAAGCTATATTCGTTTATTTATAAAGTTACACTTTTTTAAACTGGCTTTGAAGTCGCGCGTTTTAATATGTACAATTCGTTTTTTTGGTTGGAGATTTTACTCTCAAAAGAGATGTTGCTATTAAGTTACTCCAGGAGTATTTATATAAATTTTAAATAATAAAGCGCCGAGTAATACTTTTGCCGAGTAACGAGTACCGGCTCAATTTTTTTTCAACAAAGTCCTCGGCTGACCTACTCCGCCGGCCGGTTCAATTAAATTACGATTTCACGCGCGTAAAATACAAAGACGTTCGCGTCGCGTAATTTTGTCTCATTACAACTATTCTTTACTACTCACTCAATCAATTACTAATGAATACTTTCGGATTAACACTGTTACTTTAATTACATCTACCTAAATATATTGCTTTGTTTAAACAAAGTATGGTCGTTATCAGATAACAAAGTATAACCGAATTCTTCGGCCGTTGTGTTACATTATTACTTACTTTGGCTTAATGAACCTATCGTATTTAAACGAATAATATTAAATGACAATTGTACTCGTAAAGTAGTAAGTAAAAAACTAGAAGAAGTAACTTAGAAAACCGATCTCTTTAAAGATAACTTCAAGACTTTTCATAATTATATTTACCGTTTCTAGATCCTCTCCTTGTGGACATCTTTTTGTTATGATTCCGTAGCGAAATATATACTTAGCATACTGAAAACAGAGAAAAGACTGTCAAAATGTCAAATTACGAGTATTAACTGCAAAAAGCATGGCCTTATAGATTTATACGCCTACAAAAATAGGGAAGGAGTAGTTTAAAGACAGAAAATAATGCTTTTTGAAAATAAGACTTTTCCCCTTTATATTTTCTTTTTGTTTAGTGGTGTGTAACAAATAATAAAGCTATAATAAATAAAATATGTACTTACAAGAAGTACGATATAAGCGGACGAAAGAACTTGAATCCCGTTGTACCATAAAAGCAATCGATTCAGTTGATATGGCTGGCGATATTTCATGAAATTGGGGAGAATCTTCAAAATTATCGCCAAATATAGGACTAAAACCACGCTCAGACCCAGGAGCGTCTCGTAAAAGGTCCATGTATTAATTTGATCTATAAGAAAAATACATATATTTAAACGAAAAAGTTCCTGGTAAGTAGTTGCAACAATTCAAATTTCGGTGCAAGATAAATCACGTTTCGGTTTCAGTCTGTGGATATCCGAATATCCAAAGTCAAAATCGACAGCGATCTGGCTTAGATGTTATATTTATCCATCCTTGTCTATCGCAATAAATACACATACATTTAATTAATACCTTTCTTCAGCGGTAAATATAAAGTATATTAGTGAAGTCTCGTTTTCTCTGTCTTGGGCATTGGGCAACCATGTATGTATATTTTTACTGATGGATTTGAAGAGGCATGTATGTAGTTGATCAAAATTTTCAGTCCGTCAAAACAGTAACTCTTTTGTTCCCCCGGTATTCGAACACAAAACCCTTGGCAATTATCGCACGATAGTGCGTTTGTCTACTAATAAACATTGGAGGTAACCAGCTACTGAGGTGTAATAAAGTTTGACTGTCGTTCATAAGTGTTCTTAGTTATAAATATGAATTATATAAATTAAAAAAACGGTTATAGATTAAAAGAAATTACGACACGGGCATCCACAGCGTTTCGTGCTGTTGCTCTAACCAATTGAATTACCGTTAAGGGTAAAGTTGAAATTACATTATTTATTGACTTTTTTTTAAATTAAAAAATCATAAGATTAAATACTTACTCATATTTACATTATGTACATGTTCTTCATCTAATATTATCTCCAATTTTGCGTCCATATTAAATTTTAACCACTTTAAAACTTTCTTCGTTCGCTCATCACTGTATCTTTTGTATTGTTTGATTTAATTAGGGCAGTACAATATATATGTACGCAGACAATGATTCGTCAAGAAAGTTAATTAATTACGATCGCCCAATTACATTAAGATTATATACTTCATATGTGCTCTTTGCATATAAAGATACCACTGTATAATTTATTAGGAACACTGGTTTCTTGGTTATATTGATTCACAGTGAATGTAAAATCTCTCAAATTACTATATATTATAGTACAATATTTATATTGTATGATTGAGTTCCTCAGCTAATGAAGAAGCTATACTGAAAATGTAACGCGTTACGTAACAATGCTGCGAATATGGGAGATATTCAAAATAAGTTTTTCTTTTATTTTAAGGAAAGATGCTGTTTAATTAAACTATTACATATTGCTTAAATAAATGTATGTTTCTTTGTATTTCTTATTAGATGCAATATACGCTTTAAAAACCATTTTAAGTCTGTTAATAAAATTACCTTTTGAGAAGAGAAAACTTTTAAGAAAACGTGAGTTCTCAAATCGATTCATTTACAGGCTGCTTTTTAATTATGCAACTTTAGGCTGTATGTCAATAAGTAAAGACATCAATATGTAACACAATATCTTCATCGATTTTTACCGCCTCTAAAAAGAGTGCGACTATTTTATACTTTGGTACTTTTTGCTCATACATCATAACAGGAATGATACTCAAAATTTACAACTTACTTTGAAGCAATCAGAATCATTTGAAGACTAACATCGTTTTAATTGTCCTCTTGAGATGATGTAACACCAGGTTATATACTTCTCGGGAAAATATTTCTTTTATTTATAATTCGATTCCAGAATTGTATGATGTTTGTTTTTGAAAGATAGTGTTTAGATCACCACCGTGGTCAATGATGGGAGACCCCCCGTGAACACGGTCGCTGCAAAGCATCCGAAATCGGGCCATAGTTAAAAATAATTTTAACTAATATATATCGAGTTTTAAACCGTTAAAGTGTTTTATTTAAATGTGTACTACTCGTGTAAACTACAGATAGTATTTAAAAGAAATACTTTAGGTCAAAGTCAAAGCCAAAAAGATACACTTATGAATGTCAGACCGGTTAAAAAACAGTTTGGGCAGGACGCAGTCTTTTTATCTTTGTCTGTAATAAAAAAAGTAAACTAACAGTCTAATAGTGACACTAGGCGGTTGCAGTACTTAACCTTGCATAGCACTCGAATTAAGACTAGAAAAGAAGTGTGGTATTGAGAAATGTGCTTATTATGTTGCAGTTAAACTGAAAAAAAGGCAATGGCGCGCAACGAACGAATAGTGTTGGGTTTGTAATCCACGAAATAAACTCTATTCTCATTTATTGTCATTTTCACTTTCAAAAAAAAAGCTTGAACCGTAAAATATATTATTCATCGTTTGGGGATCAGTCGTAGTTAAAATAAATGAGAAGACTTATAATAATATAACTAATATATTTCGCTTTTTTAACCGTTGAAAGCGTTTCGTTAAAATGCGTACTACTCGTGTAAACTACACACTATACTTTGTGTGAAAAAAATGTAAAGTAGACAATATTGTGTTTATGTTTTTTTTTCTACAGCTCTTAAAATTATGGTGTTATAAGTTCTATTAAAATAAAACACTTAAACAGTTTAAAACGCGATATATTAGTTAAACTTATTTAGAAATGATTTTTAACTTCGGCCCGACGTTTCGGATGCTTTGCAGCAGCCGTGGTCACGGGGAGTTTAAGTTTAACTAATATATCGCGTTTTAAACCGTTAAAGTGTTTTATTTAAATGTGTACTACTCGCGTAAACTATAGACAGTATTTAAGTGCTATTAGTATTACATTAGTGTTAGTACATGATACTTACAAAATAAGAGCTTCTCCCATAATTACTACTTTATCCCTTATACATTTTCCGCTACATTAAACTTTCCAACATTAGCCGTAACAGTGAGCATTACAAAGTCGCACTTTTGACCATTTTGCTACAATCAGCGTCACAATAGTTGCCCAACTCTTGCGCATCTACGGCAAAAAGTGATTTACCGTTACACTTGATGCTGATTACCTGAGGTGTTTGTCCTTGTATTGCTGAATGCAAGATTGATATATGTAGACAGAGTGTAAAGATTCTATATTACATAACCAACGTATCTGAGGTTGGTAGTAATTCGGATCTCCTTAAACCTATATAAATAAATATATACACAATCTGAGCTGGCAAACGTCCTTTTGTCTTATAAAGTATTTCGACCAAAATGTGATTATCATAAAAACTACCCGAGATTAGCGCTTTCAAACAAACAAACAAACAAACTCTTCAGCTTTATACATATATTAGTATAGATTCTGTGGACTTCGGTCGACGCCCAAGTTAAGGGAAACTATCGCGACCGAGGCTTTTCACCTTTCATCAAGTTAAATTAATTCTTGTGTGTTTTATCTGTTATTAATAAGTTTAATTTAAATTGTCTGACTCATTTGGAACTCGTATTAGAGCTACCTTGCTCCGTAATTTCTAATTTCAAATCCAGAACATACAGAGTTCCGATCGTGTCATAAACTTGATCAATACAAAAATTAATCAATATTATTGGCCTTTTATGCATTGAATACGCAATTCGATCGACGGAAAAGTTAAATCACACAGTGGTTTGGCGAAATTAACTGCAATACGCAGAAGGTCATCATTTCTTTTGTTATCGCCAAGGTACTATTACATTTCCTCTGGCGCTCGTTAGATTACTGTTTGAGCAAGATTTTATGCAACCAGCAAGAGAAGCAATTGCTGAAAAGATTTCGTTATGAAATTAAAAGTTCGGCAGATGGCTGCTCAATTAAATAAGGACATAATGATCTGTCTGTCGGCACTAATGCGGTTATAATAGAAGCCAAATAAGTATTTTTTATTACACGGTATCGACACAAACTTCAGCTGAGCTTGGGGCTTTATTATTATTTTTATTTACTTATTCACTTATGTAAAACGTACAGCTAGTGCAATAGGATAATCGATAAATTAAATGTCAGAAAGCCAATTAGAAGAGTTCGTTTTAAGATTCAGAAATATAAAAGATTTGCAAAAAATATTGTAATTAAGTTTAGTTAAAAATTAAGATGACATGAGACTACAAATGTAGACCTATCCGGGTACGTTGTATCGTCGCGGTTGCTAAATTAAACGTCAAGTTAACTAAAAACCGCTATGGCATATTTGTGGTGTATAAATAATTAAGATACTTTTTATTTTAAGTTGAATTAAACCGTGAAATATATGAATTATGTGACAACCGATGCTGCAAAGAATGCGAAATTAAAATTTTTAAAAACTCACATGGTAGGTAGCCTTCGTAGTGGTTAAACGTCTGCTAGGTTCGAATCCCGGTATAAACAATAAATTGTACCCGTTGGGCAAGGATAGAAATCTGATTCCTCCAAGTAAAAAAAAAAAAGGTTAGAAATCTGATCAACAACTTGTCTGTAAATAAAACCCTTTTCAAACTCGCGTAAAGTTCGGAAAATGCTTTAGCACAGTTGCTAAATTGAAATATTCAGATTATTTATCAAACATCATATTTATTCCTGAAGTTCTGTAAGCTGGCACCATTGAGGCATAGCTTTCGATTGCGAGACTCCGTGCTAACCTTACAACACGCCAGGTCCTTGCGAAACCGGTCCCTTAGCGTGACGTGTGACCTAAGCGAATTATCACTTGCAACCCTACTTGAGTAGCTCTTTGCACATCGCGCTAATGTGCTTCGGAATATCGGTTGCACTACTGTTCTGGTTATCATAACGACATGTTAACATGGAGTCACTTCTTCAGGCCGAGTAGATATTATAAAAAAACAACGAAATCCAAGAAGATAAAACTAACGTGTAGGGTAGAGACGTAAATGATAATTTCGTATTTATTGATCGAAACAGACTAACTAAGTTCTACTACTACTAACTACTACTCTTGTTCTGTTTATTGCAAGGATAACTTGCAATTACTCAAAATATTTGTATATACAAACTTGAAAAATGGTTTCCATTTCAAAGACTATACCGCTATTTAAATTTTTATCAAATTTCTTCTAGGCTACCAAAACTATACTTCTATGTGTCAAAGACTAAAAGCTAAAATCAAAGTGAATAAGGCAACTTTTGACACTTACATATTTGTGTCTGGACAGTGCTTTTATTAATAATAGTACATTCTTCCAGCGATCGGCAAGAGAGGCATTGATGGACGAACGTGTGAATAATTGTCTAGTTGCGGCCATACTTTTCTTAAATAATGCGAGGAAATAAAAATTAAGTAGTACAATGTAGAACTTTAAAACCAATGACGAAGTTGATGAACATAATAATAATTCGCCGTCGAAACACGCCAATTACGCGATTTTTTTCACTAAACATGTTATGTTATGCTAGTTCGAAATTTATATTAAAACTTTGATAAGTTACCTCTTTGATCATCATGTTGCAGATATCGTTCCAATTTTAAATTACACGACAAATATGTTTTTACATAGTCATTTATTTGGCTGCTAAACCCGAGAGATATGGACTTTTTTTTAAATAAAACACTTTAACAGCTTAAAACGCGATATATATTAGTTAAACTTATTTGAAAATTATTTTAACTACGGTCTGACATTTCATACAACTATTGCCGCCCGCTGCTCGACCAGTACCGCAAGTTTGATTTATTTAAAGAAGGTTGTCAAAATAATGCTAAAATTTACAAGCATGTATGTGGAAAAGTATTAAAATCTCTGATTCTCAGTGGGCTCGACGATTGTTCCACTGTGTTGATTGTAGGGCAGTTATCTCAGGTGCTCTGGCGTTAAACGTAGATCAAGGCAACGCTGGGCAAGGCAGGCAATGCTTCTAAGACGGTCTCTACCCTCGCTTACTCTACGAAAATAGCCGGTTTTACTTCGCCTATACTTGCACCTGCTGAGGGTATGAAATAAAAGCACTTAAGCAGGGTATTTTAATAAGCAGTTTAAAATCTTAAATGATGTCTGTATGTTTTAAACCGTTTAAAGTGTTTTATTTCAAACTTTCCAATCTACAGTTCGTAAAGGCGGGTTCGATTTCTAGTTGTACATATTATGTTTTATTTCATTGAATCTCTGAGGCCTTCCTCCTTAAATCCTTTAGGTACTTACACGCAACAGTTAAAATGGTGTATTGTAGGACAATTATTATAAGCCTCTTAGTGAAGTTAATCCTATCCTAATGATTTATATCATTTGTTTCTTCATAAATAAATTATTTATATAAAAAACTGTCATTGAAATGACTGTTTGTATTTGAAAATTAACTAATACTAAACTGATAATATGTATTATGCTCACATCGGCCGAACAGCCCGAAAGACAATGAATGATATGCTGAACGATGGCCGTGAAAGCCTTACACAATTTTTGTATTATTTTATTTATTGGTTTTAAAAGTTCTATTAATATTGTATTTTACTGATTTTGCCAAATTTAACCGCTTAAAATCCAACCTATCACCAGATAGATATACCAAAAAGCAGAATCTATAATATTTAGTAAAACACGACAAAATTTAATTATCTCAACTATGATTTCTTTATCTTAATGAATAAATCGTTCAGTAAAACAGATATAGAAATGTGTCTGTCTCAACAACAAGTATTAATTGTTTTAGTTCTTTGGTTTTCGACACATGAACACCTGTCGTAATTGTGAATAGCTCGAAAACCTTTGTAGTATGGCCACAAAAGCCTTATAAAATTTATAAGACGTTTTGTCTGTAGTTTACGAGAGTAGTACACTTTTAACGGGTTAAAACATGAAATATTAGTTAAACTTATTTTAACAATGGCTCAACGTTTCGAATGCTCTGCAGCAAGCGTGGTCACAAGGAGATAAAAAATCGGCAAAACATATTCACGAAATATGTTTTGCCGATACATTTCGCGCTTAAACCGTTAAAAACCTTTTATTTAAAAGAGGTATCGTATTGTAAACATACAATAATATACTTAATGAGTGCGCGGGTAACATCGCGGACTCACTTTGTATATTAATAGAAACATGCCGTCTCGTAAAACTGGTTGTTTCTCATCATAGACAATGTCACAAATAAAAAATCTAAACGACGGGTAATAAAATGACTAAAAAGCAAGTTTTTGATAAGTATATGTCACTGTGGGCGTGCCTAACATAAGGAAGATGAGCTGTAAATACGTGAGTTTGAGTATTTTATTAATAAAACGCGAGTAGTACACATTTAAATGGTTTAGAGTAGGCCCGACGTTTCGGATGCTGCAGCCGTGAATACGGGGAGTTGTCGGGCCGTAGTTCAAATGATTCGCAAATAAATTTAAGCAATACATTTCGAGTTTTAAACTGTTAAAAGTGTTGTATGAAAATGTGTACTACTCGCGTAAGCTACGGACAGTATGTGTATTTGCTTGTTTTAAATCAAATATATATACTTCATTAGTATTTATAGTCTCCCCGTGACCACGCCTGCTGCAAAGCATCCAAAACGTCGGGCTGTAGTTAAAAATAATTTTCAAACCGTTAGTGTTTAATAAAATGAAAACACGAGAGGAAAACATTAAAAAACAAACTGTATAAGGTTTGGAGATTTTTAAGGTTCTTGTGACTAAACCAGGCCATAGTTAAATAATAAATTTATATTCAAAAGATTCATATTTTAACCGCTTCATTCACTATTACATTTATAATTATGAAAAACGAACACCTGTAGTACTCGTAAGTTATACTTTTTTGTAAGAGAGCTAAATATATTGTAAACAGGAAAGAAAGAATGAAACAAAACTTACAAGAAAGAACATAATTGTACTACTTTTAATTATAAGTAAATATTATGTAATGCAGTCTATATTAATGTGAATAATGCAGACATATTTTTAGGGCTTTTTAGAATTTGGATAATAGTGTAAATAAATAATAAATAATTATTATACGTAGATACGTTTTAGTTTACTATTATAAAATAAATAACAAATTAGATATATATTTCATTTCTATACCCGAGAGTAGGGTAGCTGCAAAACGTTGGGCGGTACTAAAATTTTTTTTTTGATGTGTTCTCTTCCAAACTACATACATTTTTTTTTATTACTCTGTTACATAAATAATATATTGTTTCATACAATCGACCACCTACAGCCACCCTGCAGATAATGCCTTACGCCCTAATATGACTTTATTAAACGAATTGACATGTATTTACACTAATAAAATAAAACGATAAAAATAAATGTTCAATTTCACTTCTAGAATGCGATATATTAAAGTTAACATTTTCCTCGACATATTGTTAACACGACTGAGAACTGTTGTGTACATAAGCTGTTAGCCTAATCTGTCACTTTGGTCATCGCAAACTTGTTATAACTTTGTCTATACCCAGATTTATGTAGGATGATAAGTCATTTAACGTCTACATAATCATTGTATTTTTTCAATGTATCTATGTGATAGCGCTTTTGATTGTGTATGTTATAATGGTAGGACACTTTGCTTTTTATAAATAAGTGAGTGTCGTACACTTCTTAGTCTTTTATTATCGTCCTTTATTTACGGTTACTGTCCACGTACAAACAAACAACTAAGGAACTAGAAAATTGTTGACATAATTAAATTTATCTAAAAAAACTATACCATTTGTGGAAGTTCGATTGTAATTATTTATATCTTTTACGTTCAAATATTCATTTACTATTTTAGTAATAAATCAACAATTCCTATTCTAATCTTTGAAATAATAAATCAATAATCTAATAGATTACAAAGTAGATTAGTAAACCTACCACCCTACATTGGACATTATATAGGTAAGAACTACTTTAAGATATCCTTATGTATTCCACGTATAGATGTGTCAGAATCCACGCTCTGCGCCCGTCCCGTTGAGGGAGAGAAAGAAGTCCCTTAAAACACAATCACTATTAGGACACCGCTGAGGGTTGCGAAACGGCACGGTCAGTCTGTTCGTGGTTCAGTAGTGAACGAACGGTGGAACCACTTGCTTTGTGCCGCGTGCAAGCCTTCTCGCGACCTTGGGGTGAGTGTGGCAACATCTTCAACTTAACCTTGAAATTTTGTAATGTTTAACTTGTTTTCGCCGGTGGGGTGTGCTATAAGCATTTTAGGACTTATAGCATAATTATTTGGCTTCTTATACATATTTGGATCCGTAGCTAATGGTTAAGCGCGTTGTCTTGCTTTGCGTAAACACGCTCGTAGGTTTGAATCCCGGGGTAACGAAAAATTATTTCAGGAGGACAGGTCAGTCCGAGGACCGAACCTGTCTGTAAGTAAAATCAATCACTTAAACAGACACAGAAATACGTTTGCCTGATGCGGTAAACGACATATCACTCAATATATCGACTTGAAACTTTACTCACTTTTTTGGTCGTAGATTATGAGCGGTAGATGTTATATGTGCGTCATAAATCAAATTAAATACATTCTTAAAATATTTTAGGTCTTGTATTATAATAGTTTTTTTTTAATTTAACCAAAATATTTATTTTTTGTAGACGTTTTTAGAACGGTTTGCTATAAAAGGGAATATGCGCTCTGCTTATTCGACAGCTAATTAAAAAATAAATGTATTTTTTATTTATGATCGGTTTTAAGTTTTGCGATATTTTACTGAGTTATACATTAAATGTTTACGTGCATAATCGTTAGTCTGATACTAATTTAGAGCTTGACGCGCTGAAGACAATAATTTTCTTTCACCGACTACACCAAAATAGGATTTAACGGACTCGTTGGTGTGTAATGGGTCGTGGGTTCGATCCCTACTGGTTCCATTATTCTATTTCAACATTATTCTAATCATTTCATATTTTTTTCTAAAACATGTTGGACTTCGTTTGGAATTCTGAATAATGAATATAGAAATTGAATATTGAATTGCTAGGAATATCAAAAATTCCGTCCGGTTCACAAACCACCGTCCACAGTTGAAAAAGCCGTCAAGTTAATTCGCGTTTCTTCATCATAAACGAAGGTTAACCGTTACTGGAACCAATAGAGAACCACGCGTTTCAAGAAAATAGTTACTGTCAAATATCACCTAATCAGATCACACGTTGTTTTAAAACGAGTTCTACCGGTTATCGCAAAATTAGAATTATAAAACATGATAATTATAAAATCATAATGTACCACGAATTCCTAAAGAAGTTAAGTGTGATCAGTTCCGTCTGTAAGTCAGGAATAATTCAGAACAGTTCAATTTGTAAGCGACATTTTATTAATTAAAAAAAATATAGCTTTTAACTTGAATTGAATGAAACTGTTCAAATTTAACTTTAACCTATATATCTCCGTGCGGGCTAGATATAAATATAATATGGACCACCGACTTAAGTACATGGATGTCAAAAAACTCATGCATGGATGTCATACTATTTTTCTGTGTCTTACACGTTTACACACTATGTTAGTTGACAAGTCTGGTGTGTATTTGCTCTATACTTTATAATGACTTCAAATTACACTGCCTTATAGACATGACGTGCGAAATTAATTATGACCATGACCCGATGTTTTGGGAGCTTTCCAACAGCGAGCTATCAGAGAGGCACATCTGGAAACGTCGGGACGTTAAATGTAATAATTGAAATGTATTATTTGTAGTAATACTGGCGTAAACAAGAGCGTAAGATGCAACATAGTATACAATTCTATCATGGCCTTTAATGTATGTGACCGCGAACTTATACGTGAAGACAATAATAATTATAAAATTATACGCCGATTAGATGACAATAATTTTATCAAGGGAAGTTCATAGTAAATTACTTCTTTAAATAAATGACGATGTTTTACAAGACCTTATAAAAAATATATCTAAAATAAATATAGGCTCAGTAAAAATAAGTAGTAATAAGTTGATTTAAAATAAGTAGACAATCAATAGAAACAATAAGTCACAAAAACAGTAAAATAATAACAATAGATAATTTGTAGCTGCGCATAAAAGTTAAACAATAAATTATAAAAAGTGGAAATTGCAAAATAACCATGTTCCAATCTTTGTAATGGTCTCCATGGCTCAGTATTGTTCAGTAGTGGAAGCAATATTGAGCATGAGTGCTGGGTTTATATCTTTAAAATATTTAATACACTGTCTCATGGAAGAGATAAAGGTAATTTGATTAGATAGAAGATAATTATTGTTTTATTTCGCGGAATCGATTATGTTTTTTTATTATTCAATTTATGCAAGTTATTAATAGAATAATACGATAGCACAAAAGCATCTGTGTCTCAACCGCGTTTAGGTCAGCTAAAATGGCGCATCTAGTCAAGATGTTATATGTCAAGTCAAGCTGGTATACCCGGCTCGGTTATATCACCTTCCATCAAGTGAACTTTTGTGTCTTTCGATATCATAAAAAATCGTAAGATAGTAACAATTATAAAATCTTGTCGCCCAATAGTTATTTTCTTCTCTCTTCAGTAATCATTTGTACTGTACTAAGCAGGAGACAAAGCCAGTTCATTTCTTGGTTTAATAAGTTCGTATCGTGTTATATGCGACATAATTATAGCCTAAACCCTATTTATTTCTCTGCGTCAATCTTCAACGGAATTCTTAATGGACACAAAAAGACGTAATTTTCAATTTAGCCATTACGTACCTGACATTTTTCGTTGCTTTAGGTAAATTTAAGTTCTATTGTATTTTTAAATTACAAATCGAATATAAATTTTAAAAAAATACCACTCGGCTACAATTGAGCTACCGAGTCACTGGTTAGAGCAACAGCACGGAACGTTGTGGATGCCGGTTGAAATCCTGTCCGAACCGTAATTTTGTTTCAATTTATAATAATTTTTTAATTATATAGTGCCATCATAACATGTAAAAAATATTAAAGTTCTAACGTACATTTATTAAAATTTACAACTCGTTTAGCATCTGTTTACAGTGTCAAACGTACTGTAATGTAAATCACACTTCTGTCGAACCCACTTTAATTAAAAATGTTTTACCACTAAACTCGGCAAAATCTATGCCAACACACACTTAACCAGTATTTTATATTAGCTCCAGGATCGATTCTTAGCTGTGGTAACTATTGGGCTGAATGAATAAATTCTGTCTATAGTTTACGCAAGTAGTACACATTTAAATAAAATACTCTAACGGTTTAAAACGCGATATATTAGTTAAACTTATTTAAAAATGATTTTTAACTTCGGCCCGACGTTTCGGACGACGTAACCACAGCTGCTGAGCCGTTAAAGTGTTTTATTTAAATGGATAAATTCTTTAAAAATCTACCTTCTCGATCTTTTTATTAATACTGTATGTTTTAATTGTGCATTTATACTTAATTTGTTTGTTAAGGATGGTTTTAAACGTTCTCTCTTAATATCAAGGTCGTTGTGTTATGAAGTTGTATAAAAAAACAATGACTTTATTTACGAAAACGTACTGATTGCAGAACATTGTTTATTTTTAAATATTATTCGATTTTTACTTACTTGCACCCTCGTTTTGAAACATAAATTTCAAATAAAGAAAATCAACATTATCACATTAACCCACTTTAAATAAATTAACGACATTTATTCGTTTTAATTTCGCGATTATGATAAAAATATTTTCTAGTCCGCTTCACTTATACCTTTTTTTTTGTAGGGCGATAGGGGCCGAGCCTTACATCTTAGCCAATGGCATCCCGGATTTGATCCTAGAGTCTCTTGCTATGCTACCGACACAGAAACGGTTTATCACCTCAATGTTACACAATTGTTTTTCCAAATTCAATAATAAGCTACAAAACTTGTGAATCATTTATTTAGCGGTGATCGGGAATTTAGAAGGTCCACGCCGCTAGAAATACTTTCTAGATGATTCTAGACAAACGAATCGACGTTGATGCAAATTTCTTAATCGCGGCCATGAAATAACGTATTATAATACGATTTTTGCGTGCATGATAGCTTTGGCGCGAGATACCCGCTTTTAATTTATAAAATTACGTTCTGCAATACTTAGTTTTAGTAATTGTTACGTTACAGTTGAGGCCCCAAGACGCTAATGGAATTTTCCGCGTCATAACTTATTTAAATATTTTTTATTCTAAATTCAAATTAGTCCAGACAAAAATTACTGAACACGAACGCCCATTTAAAAAGAAAAAATCGAGTTAAGCTCTATATTAAGTAACTAAAGACTTGCTGCGGTCAAATAAACAGGACTCAAACCTACGATGGCCTATGTTGGCATAATAGTATGGCAAAACTTAGCTAATTAGGTAGGTAGTTACGCTTTCAGTTGTAAAATTGTTCCGAAGGCTGGATGCTGTATTTTTAACGCAAAAAATAACTAGGTCTTTAATATATTGTACACTCGCGTGCATTAATAATAATGAGATGGTTAAGATATTTCAATAACAATAATCAATGAATTAATCTACGGTACTAAGTATTTTTTTAATCTTTGGGTTTCATTGACATTGTTTCACCTTACAGTATTGTAAGATGATTATGCAATTGCATACATATAATTAATGCAAGTGTTTAAGAAATCAAAACTGCATGTAGGCCACTGATTCATAGTAATTTATAACCGTACCGTACCGTAAGTAAAACGGACACATGAATAGGTCCACCCCATACCTCACATCAGTGAACGGAAGCCAATTTATTTATACAGGGAAGGTGAAGAAGAAGAAGACAGCATATCATTGTCTTTCGGGCTGTTCGGCCGATGTGAGCGAGAAGAGGTTCTCTCGTATGCTGAACGATGGCCGTGAAAGCCTTACACAATTTAAGAAGAAGACAATTATTGCATGAACGTAAGAAGCAAAACGAACCTGAAACATCAATATTTAAAATGGCGGCATAAAAAAATCTTATACATACGACGACCTTGAGCTAAGTAAATAGACAATATTTGGAATTGCTTACCACATTTTCACACTTCGCATATACTGTGTTATGTTTGACGTTTTAATTTTCGTGTGATATTACAGATCGAAGGGTAATGAAACTTTTCATTACTATTTTATGCGGAATGTTGAATTAATG